GTCTGTTCCCCTTCCCCAATTCCCCAACGCTGTTCCCCTCCCCCAATTCTCCAATAAATCTTAAAAAACAAAAAAAAAGTGATATGGGGAATATAGTCAATAACATAACAACTATATATGGTGTCAGATGGGTAGTAGACCTATCGGGGTGATCTCTTTATAAGGTATGTCAGTGTCTAATCACTACGTTGTACATGTGAAACTAATACAGCATTTTTTGTCAAATGTAATTAAAAAATAAATTTTAAAAAAAGTGATGGGTGTCACCAAAATGCCCTCCTTAAAGTTTGTGCCAAGTTTTCACTACTACAATATTAGCAGGTTTTTTAGATGGCTGTACCCTCACTGTCATTGGATATTAAAGTTTAATACCTGCCTGTCTGATAAATGAAAATGGGATCTTACTCTTTTAACTTGCATTTTTGTGAGTGAAGTAGGATGTTTTTGGCCGTTAATTTTTCTGTGCTCTGCCTGTTTTGTCAGGTTATTCATCTTTATCTTTCATTGGTTTCCAAGTTCTTTACCTTTAATGAAATTATTCTTTTGTTTTATGTTGCAAATTATTTGTCTACAGCTTGTTCTTGGTCTTTCAACTTTGTTTTTAAGGTGTATGGTATTTTTAACCACATAAATTTAACTTTTTATATGCTTATCTTCTGACCTCCCCAATATATTGTAAGCTTCATAAGGATCAGGACAGCACCTTTTTCATAATTATGTTCCCCATCCTATCTAGCACTATGACGCCCTATTATAGATGCTACCAAACTAATCATTGAATCCTCCCAAAACTAGGGGGAAATTACTGTCTTTTCTCCCTTGAAAAACCCAAAATAGAACATTTTATAAGGGTTAAGTAAGTTGAAAGTGACCAATCTTAAGAGTTTGTAATCAAAAGTGATAGTTCAGTGGCTTAAACAAAAAACTTCAGCAGTTTTCATTTGTATTTTGATCAAATTGAATTGAAAGTCCTTGTGGTGATCAGCAAGACATTAACAGGCAAACTTACCACTCCAAATGTAATGAGCAAATAATATTAAGAATTACTTGTCATGACTTTATCAAAACTCGATAGCAGTCCTCCTCATATAAAGAGAAATCATAGCCAGCTGAGAAAACTAAACAAAAGAATTTTCTTTAACTATGATCCTTTTTTTAATGTATAATCTATCGAACTATTAGCTAATCATAGAAAGGATTGGATTTTTTCCCTCCCACTCCCCTTCTATTAAAGCGAATCAGATATAATCATGATTGTGTCAAAAGTTCAAAAGGGAAAATGGAAGGTAAAATGAGCCGAATTGGCACTCTTCCCTCAACATTGTACCTGTAAGCTTGATATGTTGTTTCAGAGATTAACTTTATAGACTTCCGTACCCAGAAGTATGAAAATTCTTAGGGAACTCTTTTCACAAGCTTGATCTTAACATATTGAATAAAGAGAGCAGCTAATCCTCTTTGTAAAGTAATTTGAGAGGAGGGAATTCAAAATGTAAAATCTCACCTGCAGAAAACACTCAATTCTGTAAAGGCCTTTCTATCTTTAGACACTTACAAAGACTTAATATTTTAATGCGGAAGGGTGAACTTGGTTAAAAAGCCAGTGGATGAAATTAGAGAGAAATAATCCAGTGCTTTCTTTCTGGGAATTATCATCCTACTCTCCAGGGGACCTAATTTTATTCCCTGTGGGGAATGAGAATACCTCTCTCTGTACAGCAAGCCAGCATCTCTAAATATAAGCTTGACTTTTAGTATAATAAGAGTCTTGTTAGGTGCAATTTGCTCTTAGTCATTAATACAATGAACAAATGTTGTGGTTACCTGGGAAAGAAAATTCAAGTGCTTTTAAACCTCTTGTGAGATTTGGTTTCATGCTCGAAACCTATACAGTGTTATGCCCAATAGCATCTGTGGAAGATTCCAAGCTATAAGGTATACAACATAGAGAAGTTAATACACTTTGGAAAAAATTTAGACGGCTGAAAAATGGGTTTAAGGTCCTGAATAAAAAGCTTTTCTTCAGCTGAAGGACAACTGCCAGTGGCATTAAGTTTAACAAATGATTGGAATTTTCTTGTGAGTGAATTTTAGGTAATGATGATGTCCCTGTATACAAAGTCGGAAGCCAGCCTTTCCTTCTAGCAGCACTTAACTTTTTTCCTTTCTTCTGTGAAACAGTGTGCAGTTCTACAAGTGCAAAGACTGAATTAAGGACAAAATATAATCTGAGAGAATTTATACAGTTGACACTTGAACAACACGGGGATTGGGTGGAGTGCCGACCCCCCACACAGTTGAAAATCCACATGTAACTTTGATTCCCCCAAAACTTTACTGGTAGCTTACTGTTGACTGAAAGCCTTGCCAAAAACATAAAGCCTGATAACACATATTTTGTATGTTTTATGTATTATATACTGTATTCTTAACAATAAAGTAAGAATAAGAAAATGATAAGGAAGAGAAAAGACATTTATAGTACTGTACTATATCAATACTGTAAGTGTATGTTGTCTATTTACAGATGAATGGTCTGTCAGTACCTATCTCAATATTGTCTTACATGATACAAAACACTGTAGATATTGTACATAGTACTCACACTAGACATCAAAAATGAAAAGAGGGCTGGCCAAGTGGCTCAGTTGGTTAAGAGTTAGCTTAAGAGCGCAAGCTCTGAGCAATAGGGCTGCCGGTTCGACTCCCACATGGGCCAATGACACTGCGTCCGAGCTGAGCTGCCACTGAGCTGCCTGCTTAGCTGGTGAGAGCACGTGCTCCTAACAACAAGACTGCCCGTTCAATGATGGGCTACGCCCGCTCGCAACTAAGACTGAACTTAGCACCTTGAGCTGAGCTGCCACCTGGATGGCCCAGTGGATGGAGTGTGCGCTCTTAACAACAAGGCTGCTGGTTCAACTCCCGCATGGGATGGTGGCTACGCCCACTCACAACTAAGAGAGGAACACAGCACCTGGAGCCTAGAAGCCATGAGCTGCCCATAGGCAGCCAGATGGCAACAGGTGCCCTCCACAACTAAGATTGAAGAACAACAACTTGGGTGGTCCCCCTCCCCAATTCCCCAATTCCCCAATTAAAAAAAAAAAAGATACTGTGAAAAAGAAATATATATTTATTTATAGGTATGAATCATGCATTGATAACGAAGAAGCAGCAAATGATTGCTTTATGGTAGCCTAGTAATTGAAACAACAGGAGGTGGCTACAAAATTATTACACTAGTATAGTATGTACTTGTTAATTTTTTGCAGTTATAATTTAATCTTCTTTTACATTTCTCTAGACACTCAATGCACCATGTGTGGTCCGTAAGTGTGTAAATTTTGATAGGTTTTAATTTTTTATAATAGATTCATGCATATTTTAGGGTAGTAAATGATAAAATAGACTAGTATCTACATACATTTTATGCATTCATGACATACATAACTTCTTAAAGTTTTTTGATATTTCAAGGCTACATGGTTCTTCAGTGAGTATTTTTCAAATGGTTGCAAGTCTCAAAATTTTTCAGTATATTTATTGAAAAACATCTGCGTGTAAGTAGACCTGTGCAGTTCATACCTGTGCTGTTTAAAGGTTAACTGCAGTATTAAATAGCATTTTCAGTATGGTATGGCATTAATTGTTAAGTAATTTCTGTCCCCTACAAACTTTGTGATATTATGTGCATTTTAAAATCTATTCTGGGTCTGGCCAAGTGGCTCAGTTGATTAAGAACTCACTTGGGAGCACCAGCTCTGAGCAGCAGGGCCGCGGTTCAGATCCCACATTAAGGGCCAGTGACACTGCGCCCTCTACAGCTAAGATGGTGAACAACAGCTTGACCTGGAGCTGGGCTGCAGTGGGGCAGCAGTGGGCTGCCATGAGCTACATGAGCGGCTGGCAGCCGGCGAGAGCTGCTGTGAGCCCCAGTGAGCGGCCGACCAATGACCGGTGACGGATTGCCTTACCCGGGAAGAGCACAATGATCATACCAGCATGGGCCAGTGAAGCGACGTCCTCCACAACTAGAATGAAGAACAAAACAGCAATTTGCCTACCTGTCTGTTCCCCTTCCTCAATTCCCCAACGCTGTTCCCCTCCCCCAATTCCTCAATAAAATCTTTTTAAAAATAAATAAAAATAAAATCTATTCTTAATAAAATTGTGATGGTATACACTTCTGCTAATTGTCCTTAATCATAATCCAGTTTTAATTGGATTTAGAAGTATATTTTTCTTTAGGGATCAGTAAAAGATAATAGAAATATTTCCTGTTACTTTAACTTCAGAAATGAACAGAAATTATCTTTGCAATCTTGTAAAGAATGGTCTCTGAAAGTTTTCTTCCATTCCTATGTAACCTCAAAGCACTGGGTATTATGTTTTCCATCCTTAAACTTGCCCTCAGCCTATAAAGCTCTGGATCTATGAACCTGATGTAAAGGAATTGACTCCTAATTTCCTACTAGTGGTAAGAGTGATTTTCTGGCATTTTTTAAGAAGGCCATTAAAAATAATCCTTTATTTCTTCCATTATACAACATGTAATCTAGTCATAATAACAAAATATTTTATATTTTATTTCAAAGTAATTCAGGTCTTTCCCCTATGAGCATTATATAGTAAGGTGTTATCTAAACTGGATAGCAAGTAGATCTATCTTTAGCTTCACCCCTTTCAGTTGACACTTCTGCAGCTCACTGAAATAGAAAAAAAGACCTTTATTTATATAACTAACCTCAGGCAGAATGACATCCAAAAGTATATGTGCAAACGTGTGTTTGGAAGTTGTACTCTAGTGTAAATAACATACTATTTTAACAGCTAAGTTTTATTTTGTTGGAGGTAAAATGTCACCTCAATAACTTTATGGCTTTATTATCTTAAGGTAACCAGGCTTGCTGTATTATTAATTTGACAAACAGATCCCCACCCTTTTTTTGAATTCCATGTAATATGTTTCAATTTAGGAATGACTTTTTTTATTTCAGACAAATCTGCCTATTTTCAAGCTGAAGGAATCTACTGTTAGAAGAAGATACAGTGACTTTGAATGGCTACGAAGTGAATTAGAAAGAGAGAGCAAGGTAAGAATTATTTGTAATGCGACTTTAAAGCAAAACATTCCAAATCTCAGTATTGAAGACTTTTCAGGAAAGTTATGTTATTTTGTGGCAGATAGAGGACATCTTTGTAAGTTTTCCTCAGAACTGTCTTCCTTCTCTTGGCTACATTTTAATGGCTTAATTGCGGCCTTTGCTGATTCACACTTGGATAACACTCCTTAGAACTTTCTTGCTATTCCTTCCTTCCTTTTCCTCATTTTCCTATTCCACCTTTCCCCTCCACACCCCTGCCAAGTTTCTCTTCCCAGTACATCTCAGATGTCAGTATATTTCCAGTGGTTTTTACTGACTCAATAAATACATCTTGTCATCACCATATATGTACATATAACAAAAGTTTCTAAACCAGTACTTAGCTTACTTTGTGTGTTACGTGCTGATATTCTTCAGATCAGCTTTTTTTTTTTTTTTAAAGATTTTATTGGGGAAGGGGTACAGCTAAGTTGTTGTCCTTCAATCTTAGCTGTGGAGGGCGCAGTTAGCTCAGCTCCAAGTCCAGTCACCATCCGACTGCCTATTGGCAGCTCGCGGCAGCTCAGCTCAAGGTGCTGTGTTCAATCTTAGTTGCAGGTGGGCATAGCCCACCATCCCATGCGGGAGTCGAACCAGCAGTCTTATTGTTAGGAGTACGTGCTTTCACCAGCTGAGCCATCCTGCCACCTTTTGGCAGCTCAGCGGCAGCTCAGCTCGGGCGCAGCTTGCTGCCCCATGTGGGAATTGAACCGGCGACCCTGTTGCTCAGAGCTCGCACTCTTAACCAACTGAGCCACCCGGCCAGCCCCAGATTAGCTTTTTAAATGATGGCCATGATCTACTAATGGGTTGCTACCTGCAATTTGAAAACACTGTTACATACCTTAGTAGGAATTGTCTTCTCTTAGAAGAAAATTTGGCGGTTTTGGCTGCAAAATAAATTAGAGCATGGTTTCACACTAATATCCCTTATTTCAGCCCTGTGTCAGAATAACATCAAAGGGCATGGTATGCTCAGAACGACGAAAAGTTACTTTGTGACTAGAGTGTATAGTAGGAAAGAAGTGGATATGGTAGGAGCCCTGAAGTGGGTTAAGACTTGCTTATGTTTATCTCTGAAAAATAATAAGCTAGAAATGGAAGGAGAACTTCCTTAACCAGGTAAATGTGGCTGGATACAAGAACAACATACACAAATTACAGCATTCCATCAAAAATGTAAGGGGAAAATAATTTTACTTACAAAATACTTACGAATAAAATGAGAAATATAAGACCCATATAAAGAAAAGTTTAAAACTTCACTGAAAGACAAAAGAAGATCTTAAATAGAATTACTACATTCCTGTTTTGGAATGTTCACTTTTGAAGATTCATTCTATAAACATGTGAGAGCTTATTCTATGTATTCTGGGAGTTACAGATAGAGCTGTGAACAAATTAACATCCCCATTTTTATGGTGCTACATCCTGCTGGGTAAGTTGGGATTGTGAAGGGAAGGCAGAAAAATAGATACATAGTATGTCAGATGATAATGTGCTCTTAAAAAACAAAAAACAAACTAAGAGTGCCAGGAGAGCTACTCTCATATTGATGGTCAAGCTTGGAAGGCCTCACTTAGAGGTGGCAGTTTAACAGTAGATCTAAGGAAATAAGGCAGTATCTCCTCTAACTTATTTATAAATTCATAAAATTCTAATAGCGATATTAGTGGAGGTCTTTATAAACTTGAAGATTTATATGTGAGCTTTGGAATCAGAAAGCTCAAGAATAGTCAGAAATTATTTTCAACATATATTGAGTACCTGCAGACATCAGAATATACCTTAAGGCTGTAGTATAATAATTAAAACAATGTGGTCTTGCTTTAGGGATGAGTAGATAGATTTGTGAAATGTTATAGAATTTAGAAGCTGACCCATGTGTTTATTGGAAATTTAGTTCATAATAAAAATAACATTGTCGAGGGCGGCTTGGTGGCTCAGTTGGTTAGAGCACGTGCTCTGAGCAACAGGTTTGCCGGTTTGATTCCCACATGGGCCAGTGAGCTGCGCTCTCTGCAACTAGATTGAAGACAATGACTTGAGCTGAGCTGCTGGTGGGTGGACAGATGGCTCAGTTGGTTAGAGCGCGTGTTCTTAACAAGGTTGCCAGTTTGACTCCCGCATGGGATGGTGGGCTGCGCTCCCACAACTAGATTGAAAACGGTGACTAGACTTGAAGATGAGCTGCGCCCTCCACAACTGAGATTGAAGGACGACACTTGACTTGGAGCTGATGGGTCCTGGAAAAAACACGTTGTTCCCTAATAAAGTTGAAAAAAACAAAACAAAACAAAAAAACATTGTTGATCAGTGGGGGAAGGAATTCAAATTCAGTAAATTGAGTTGAAACATTTGGCTATCTATTTGGGAATAAAGATTTATAACTCATTGTATATATATTATATATGTTTAGAAGACCTACGAGGTGTGATCAAACAATACGGTGAATGTTTAAATAAAAATTTATTACAGTAAAACACACATTGCCATTAATCTCCCTAAAAATATTCCCCCTCACTTCGAACACACTTATCCCATCATTCTTGCCACTTTAGCGATGTGTGACTTGGAGCCTTTCCGTTGTGACCACAAAATAGCGAGTGCTGCTGCCAAGTGCCATCCAACGGAAAGGCAGGGATCTTCAATATGGGAAGGAATGTGTCAAACCTTAGTAACAGTGTGTGACAAGTTTCAACTTGTTCCGTGCAGTCAGTAGAATGTGAGCTATGATTGAGAGAAGGTGAGTTTTAAAGTGTGCCATAAATCATCCTCTATCATGACAATGATCCGTGTCACACATCGCTTCTGATATATGGCAATTTCTGTCAAAAACATAACAGTGTATCCTCATCCACCTTATTTACCGGATCTGGCACAGTGCAACTTCTGGCTCTTCCCCAAAGTCAAAATGATTCAGGACATTGAGGCAGTTGTGACAGCGCAACTAAAGATGCAAAAGAGGACTTCCACTGCTTCAGAAAGTGGCAAGAATGATGGGATGTGTGTTCGAAGTGAGGGGGAGTGTTTTTAGGGGGATTAATGTCAATGTGTGTTTTACTGTAATGATTTTTTTTTTAATTTAAACATTCACCATATTTTTCAATCACACCTCGTAAGTTGACCCTAGAGGATAGTTAGGCTTTGAAGGAGAAAATTTGGGATGTTTATGTAGTGTGGGAAGGAAGAAATGACAGGTCTTCAGGGAAAGATAGAATAGTGGATTCAGGAGAAAGTGAACGTGTCTCTTAGCCTAGGAAAAAGAAGAGTGGCGACAAGTGTTGATTATTTTGTCATCACCTCAGACACAAGTAGGAAGGATTATATGCAGATGGTATGAGGTGGAAGAAATTGACCACAGAATTTTTATCTGCCCATGTCAGAACTAGTTAATACTTTATTTCTTTATTGAATTGGGAGTTGATTTTGATCTCTGTAGTTTCTGTTGTAATAAAGCATTGTCTTCTCCAGGTGGCATCAAAACTGAGGGGCACAGTAGCCTTTATTTCAATATTGCTTGAATGTTCTCTTTGTATACTTGTACTTTGCTAATAAGTCCAGGAAAAATTATGATTAAGCTATGGGCCCTGCCGTTGAGGAGCTTTGTTCTGATGGGCTGTTCTGCATTTGGTTATCTTGCCTCCAAAATAATGAATATTTTTTCAGTGTTTTTTTTACTGATTCCCTTTTATATTTACACAAGCTTGATTGAAGTGGTTTAGCTCTCATGGTGAGGATATACTTTGTCTTCATGTTGTGTTCTATAAATATTCACAACCCAGTCACCATGTTCAAGAATTTTCTTTGCTTCTGTTGTTTTAGGTTGTAGTTCCCCCACTCCCTGGGAAAGCGTTTTTGCGTCAGCTTCCTTTTAGAGGAGATGATGGAATATTTGATGACAATTTTATTGAAGAAAGGAAGCAAGGCCTGGAGCAGTTTATAAACAAGTAAGTGCTTTCTGTTTCTCGGGGTATCCTCAGACGATTAACTTTCTGTGAATTTAGATATTAAGCTGAACTGTAATATTGCTTCTTCTTTTGGTCATTGCCAAACTTTTTATATCATTTAAACAAAATAAAAATATATAACAAGTTGAATATCATGTGATAAATATTAACACACTTGAGTGATTGAAGTGTTGACCTAAGTTTTGTATTTGTTATTCTTGGTTAATTTATGTAAATTACATTTAAAATTACAGCATTTAAAAAATACCGTTTTACTTATGATTCTTTCTGATTTAAGGTATGTTCTAATATGAACATCAGACTTACAATACACTTGAAATCATTTTGTTTGATTGCAGATGGAGGTATTATCAGCTTGTCATGTAAAGGTGCACATCTAAATTTTTCATGGCAAGATATTCTTTTGGAAATATAAGAAGACTTAGAGTTGTCTTTTACTTTAGAAACTCTTAAGCTCGAAGCAGAAGTTTGAGCTTTAAATTTTATTCTCACTTGAAATATAGCCATTTTTTAAAAGCTGAATAGGGAGAGCTATGCCAGGAAAGAGTTCGCTATAATTGTGGATTGGTCTTAAGTTTGACCAATTAAAGTCAAATCCTAGAGAATATGGTTGTGTGAGCTATTTATTAGAAGCACTTTAATTTTTATCTAGTGGTTTAAAGATCTGTGAGTGGTGAGTAAACAGGAGAGTTATACAAAGCCTTTATCTTTTAGTTATCTACTATAGCACATAACCTTCATTGTTTTTTATGAAATACTTTCCTTTTGGAAAAGGCAATGCTAGATTACATGTTTTTAAATTGAGATAGAAACCAGTCTGATGTTGTGTTTAGTCTGATGGAAACCTTTAAAAGCAAGCAACCCCCCTTCACTCCCCCCCCAAAAAAAAAACAAAAAACCTGTACACCTGGGCCTGTTTCTTAGCATTTTGGATTTTTATTGAATTAAAGTGTATTTCTAACTCTAATCCTATATCTTTTCCTTCTTTAAAATGGATTCTTAGAATCAGGACATATTTCACTTTTAATATTAAAGTTAATTTAGGTGTCTTATGAATATACCTACTAATTTGTAAAGAAGCTAATTGGTTACATATGCCAGAAGCAGTACAAAGCAAGTGATTAAATGTTTTCTAAATTACCCTTGTGAACCAAAGGAAAGAAACTTTACCATAAGTTGATAAGAGTGTAGCTTTATGGGCTGTCCAGAATAACGCTTGTTATTACTAAATTGTACTTCCTAACATTAAAAATACCCCATGTACCTCCACCCTTTTCTAAAGTATTGGACTAAATTTGTATGTTTTAATCCTAGGGTCGCTGGTCATCCTCTGGCACAGAATGAACGTTGTCTTCACATGTTTTTACAGGATGAAATAATAGATAAAAGTTATACTCCATCTAAAATAAGACATGCCTGAAATGTGGCGAAAGGGGATAAAAAAACTTTCCGTGACTATTACTGATTTCACCAGTGAAGACGTTCTAACTAACTTTTAGCATGCTGCACAGAAACTGGTATAACATGCCTTCAGTATACTAACACTCGTATGCTCTGTTTTGTTTTGTTTTGGCAGTTGACAAGAAGTTAATTTGCTTTAGTGAAAATCCCTCATTCCAGCCTTTCTGTATAATTGCTCTTCCTTGCTGTTTTAATGTCGTACACACGATAGCCTCCCAAACCTGTTACCAGTATAATCTGCAGTTTTCGAACTAAAGTTACTGACTTGGTCTTATCTGCACAGTTTTTGTGTCATGTTTGCTTCTTGAATCTGATTAACTAGACTATTTCTCTTCTCCCCTTTTTAATATGTGCTGTCACTTGACCTAATTTATGTGTGGGAGCACTACACCATTGGTTTCCAGCACCCGACATGTAAGATACATACTTGCGTGCAGAGAGTATCTCCCTTCAGGCTTGCAATACCTTCACATGGAAGATCAACGAGGGAAATCTTTATATTCTGTATAAAAACAAAATCAAATTTATATACTAAAATCATTTGTCTAAAAATTTAAGTTGTTTTCAAATAAAAATAAAAATGCATTTCTGATATGCACTGATTGTGTTGCCTTCAGCTTTTCTTTTCTCCCTTTATGGCTTTCCTACTTAACTCACTTGTTAAGAGGGATTATTTACTAATTATATACTTCTCATTCCTGTAACTCCATTCCTCTTTAAACAGTGGTGATATCAAATATGCCACCACCCTTTCAATGGGGTATTTTCTTTTAAACAACAAAAAAGTGATGTACTAAAAAAAAGCATTCCTGAAGGCTTACTGAGTCGTTATGAAGCACTTTGTGTATTTGAAAAATGTTTATAATCTCAAGTCATTCTTTTTAAAGGCCTTTTAAGATAAGTCAATACCATGCCTCCTATTTTTTAGAAGATTTTTTTTTTTTTTGGTATTTCATCTGAATGACTTGCTTAAATAAACTTAGCAAGGGTGTAATAACCCTTTTCTCAGCGGATTCACCCTTTCTCTCTGATTTGGCTTGGGGTGCTGGCACACTCGATTCCCTTTAACCAAGGGCGAGGGTCACAGTGCTGTAGCCTGACTTGTGTACATAATAAGAAGCCAGAAAACACAGGACTCCGTGCTCCCTGCCCTGTGTTGTGGCCAGAACTCTTCAGCCAGAATGTGGTCTCTAGTTTGAATCTGCACAACATCCAGTGCTTTTGGGACCTACTGTGACCTAGCGTTAAACCCCAAGTTAAGGAAAGCTTGTCCTCACACCAGAACGTCGCCTAGAGACAAGCCAGTCCATTTGAGAGGAAACCAGCTTAGGTCCTGGCCAAAGTCAAATGTTTACCAAGCAGGTTGGAAATCCCAGGCAGAAGTCAGAGCTGCCCTCTGAGGCCTTCGTACTTCACAATTCTGTAAGAGTGAATCCTTTTAGTTACTATAAATTAAGGCACAAAGTGAAACAATGTGAATTTGATTTCAGTGAGCTGGAGAGGAAAAATCAAAGGCTGTTTTTGGTATGCAGAATGGAGGAATGGTAGTCCTGCTAATTCGAGTAATTCCTCTAAAGCAGCAGTTCTCAACCAGGGATGATCTTGTCCCCCAGGAGACATTTGGTAATGTCTCAAGTCATTTTTGCTTGTCACAACTGGAGAATGCCCCTGGAAACCAGTGGGCAGAAGTTAGAGGTGCTGCTAAGCCTACAGTGCACAGGGTAGCTTCCCACGACAGGAAAATGTCAGCAATGCTGAGGTTTCCACTCACTGTGGAATTCTTTTGATTTTGATCATTTATAGACGAGGGAATAATGTAATTTAGGATGGGGTGTACTGGCCTGCTTCTAACCTCTACTGTTTCTAAAGGGCAGGCATGTTCTCAGAAAGCAGAAAACTGACATTAGGTGAAAAGCTGCTTATTCCAGGTAACACGTTTTTACCTAATGTAGGGAAGGTGCTTTTCAGTGTTGTGTCTCAGAGAATTAAAACCATGGTCTGTGTTAAAACTACACCTTTAAACCTGTAAAGTAAAAATGCAGGTGCTGTTAACTCTAAACCACAGTGGAGGATGTGCTAGAAGCCCAGAAGAGCCTTCCTAAGAGAACAGAAGTTAATTTGGCAGTGGGTTATGCAGCAAGACTCACAGGCCGTGCCCTCTCAGCAAGTAATTGCCTTGTTTCAACTCCTGCCAGTTGTAAAGGGTGGGACCTTTAGTAACTTACAGTTATTAAATGATGACTAACTGTAAAATCCACAGAAAACAGCAATGTCTGCAACATGTAAAGGCTTAATAATAGATCTCCATGGCATTGGTAATCACACAGATACACTTACTAGTAACAGCCAACGGTACCAATAAAACCCATGGCAGTTTTTAGATGAGTTTATCTGCTATTTGGTTTCTTGCTTGAAAGTTCTGCAATCATGACCCTCAGTAGTGATGATGGCCTCTGGTGTGGGTGCAGGGGAGCGTCTCCTTATTACATCCTGTGGCTTTTCAGCTCGGCCCTCTTGTTACGGGCCACTCTAGATTAAATGTCCTTGTCCTGTTGCCTTTACCTGTTTTGGTTACAGGAGTGAGGATGAATATAGCTAATGAAAGGAGAAGGCTGCTGCCTCCTAGCCCTTTACAGATAAGATTTGTTTGAAGTATGGATGGACAGATAGTTTAGCACACTGCCTGGTGTATAGATTAACTGCCCATTGGGTGCTGTAATTATTACAGTATGTAAGTGTTTGGACTAGAAAATGAGTTAGAAACTGTTTAAGGAGAATGGAGTGTAAGTGTTCCTCAATAGTTCCTTTGTGATCTCTGTCACAACTTCCCTATGAAGTAAATACTATTCTCCTTTACAGATGAAAAGGCTGAGGCTCTGCAAGCGTAAGTAACATGGTCACGGTTACCCAGGCTGTGATGGCCCCAAGTAAGGATGTCTGACTCTTGGGGACAGGGCCTGGGACTTGGTACCCAGCCCTGATTTGGGTGCTCAGTAGATTTATTGAATGAACGAAAGGGTGAATTTTCAGTAACATTTCCTCCATCCTTTAGGCTGAACATGAGTGATTAAGTGGCTGGATTTGGTTCTGTTTTTTAGTGTGATTTTAAGTGTGGGTATAAAGGCACTTTTGGACATGAAGAGCTTGCTGATCAGAAGTATCTTATTTTCCTAAATTTAGCTGTGCACCACAATTACTCTCTCAAACTGAGTCCAGGGTTTGGTTTTGTTTTTAATGCTTCCCACATAATTTGGAAACAGCCAGGTTTGGGCACTTAGCTAGAAAGCCCTTTGATTTCCAGGAATTTGGTCAGATTTTATCTTGGCTATATTAACCTGGCTACTTAAATCATTACGAAAAGAAATCAGGAAATGGAGAAAAAGTCAGGACTTATCAGATCTTGAGAAATTATTTTTGTAAACCTTGATTTACAGTAACTGAAGTTTGCCTATTCCAACCTTGCTAAGAAAAGAAGACCTTCACTTGGAGGCCAGGAAAATTCATTCAAAAGCCCCAAAGGAAGTTTAGAGGATGTTGGGTAATGCTTCACCACAGATGCTTTTCACTATTAGATGAGTGCCATAAATGGAAGTGACCCAATGAAATGAAAGCACTAAGCATTTTCTGTGTGCAAAGTGTTAACATAGACAAAAGGGTATAAACACCTCCCTTTTCTCAAGAATCATCCTTGCCAGGACAGTGTCATAAAAAAACTCACTGATAGCATACACAGACAGGAGACATGACAAATGTAAGGACAAGAAGGGACATGGGAGTTCAGATGGAGAGAAGGGAATGACCGTTCAAAATAAAGGGGATTTATGGTTTCAGCTCTGACGTGGAAAGTTGGCACCCTTGTCCTTACAAGAAAAAGCTTGACAGTCTAAAAATCAGTGACTTTTGGATCCACCCATCAAAGAGGTTCATCTAGAGAGGCACAGTCAAAATCTGTTTACATGGAGCAGAAACTGCTGGAGCCATAGACTGGTAGAACACTTACATGGCGGTTCTGGTGAATTGCTGGAGGTTAAGTGTGGTCTAGCATGAGACCGAGAAACTCTTGGAGAGCACAGTCTTAGAGGGGCCCCTACACGCTTACTTCTAGGAACCCCACCAGATTCCCACAGTGAAGATCAAGATAGATCCCATAATGGATCTGACATGGAGAGGAGATGAATAATCATTGTGAAATGTGCCTAGAACCTTCATTACAAAAGCCTACTCTCCAGGGTAAGGACTTTGCCAGAGCCTTATCCCAGTTTGGGAAAGGGCATTCTTCCCACACCTGCCCCTCTAGCCTTCCTGTCTCACCTAAGGGGGGAAAAACAGTCAACAGAGGTTAAGGCTAAGGAAATAGATTGGGAATGCTTCAGGCATGGAAGCGAGAAAGGAGCAGAGAGGTTAGCTATACCACCGGGGAAACACTTGTGAAGGTCACCAACCCACTAACACACCATTTGATCTGGAGAGTATAGAACACCCCCACCCCCCAACTTCAGCGCTACACCAGGGCTCCAGTATAATCATGGTGGATTACAGCTGAACTCGGCAAGACAGACTCTTGAGGAGAAATAATTAGGAAAAATGGAGACAAGAGCAAAGACTCTAGAAGAATTTGAAGCCTCTGGTACCTCTACAGCAAACATTAAACACAGCCCACTCCGTAGCCAGATAAATCCTCACATGTAAGGCCTGTTTACCTCAGTTTCTATTATCAATGCAGCATGTCTGGCTTTCAACAAAAAATTACAAGGCATGCCAAAAGGCAAGAAAAAACAGCCTGAAGAGAGAAAGCAATCGTCAGAACCAGAGTCGGGTATGACGCAGATGTTGGAATTATGCAACGGAATTTTAAATAACTATGATTAATATGTCAAAGGTTTTAACGGGGGGGGGGGGGGGGGGGAAGCAACATGCAAGAGCCGAAGGGTAATGTAATCAGAAATGGAAACCAGAATCAAAAGGAAATGCTAGAAATCAAAGTCGCCAAAAATAAACATGAAGAATGCCTTCCATGGGCGCATCAGTAGACTGCATAGTTTAGGAAAGACTCAGTGAATCTGAAGTTCAATAGAAACTTCCCAAAGTGAAATGCAAACAGAAAACAATAGAAAAAACAAAACAACTTCCAAAAACTGGGGGACCATTTCAAAAAGTCTAACATAGGTGTAATGGGAATCCCAGAACAAAAAAAGAAGAGCAGCAAAAGGAATACTTGAAGTAAAAGTGACTGAGAACATTTCAAAATTAAAGATACCAAATGATAGATCCAGGAAGCTGAGAGAACAACAAACAGGATAAATTCAAAAAGCAACAGGCATATCATTTTCTAACTGCAGAAAACCAAAGACCAATAGAAAATCTTATAAGACGCCAGAGAGAAAGAGTAAAATAAAGGGGTGCATGGGCTGGCCTAGTGGGGCGCTGGTTGAGTTGGCTTGGGACACCAGCTCTGAGCAGCAGGGCCCCGGTTCAGATCTCACATGAGGGCCAGTGACACTGCGCCCTCTACAGCTAAGATGGTGAACAACAGCTCAACCTGGAGCTGGGCTGTGGTGAGTCGCTGGCGACGGGGACGGTGTAGGCTGCAGTGGGGCTGGATGGCAACTGGCCGGCAGCTGGTGTGAGCTTTTAGTGAGCTGCTGTCCAATGGCCGGCGAGCGACTGCCTCACCCAGGAAGAGCACAATGATAATACCAACATGGGCCAGTGAAGCAACGTCCTCTACAACTAGACTGATTCCCCAATGCTGTTCCCCTCCCCCAACTCCTCAATAAAATCTTTTAAAAAAATAAAAAAATAAGGGAGTGCAGGCTTGACAGTTTAATTTAAACATCTTTTATCAGTAGTCTTGAGGCCAGAGGTGGTGATACTTGATAACACCTGAAGTGCTTAACCTTAAGTCTGAATT